CCCCAAAACCCCAAAACCCCAAATTACTCATATCTATAATTGGTTTTTAATTGAAGTTTAAGAGTTGCTGAAAGGGTATCAACATCAGATACTTCTGTTTTTAAGATCTGAATATCTTCAACTGGAATATTGGAAAATATCTAAATCTAGTCTATTTCCAGCTATATTTTTTGGTTAATCTTGTATGATTGGAATCAAATTATATTGACCCATAATCTTCTGCACTTTTATAATATGATCTCTGTTGAAATAGCTCATAACAATAATTTTCGAATTCGCTTCATTTTCTTGTATTCTTCTAAATATCCTATCAAGATGATTGAATAACTGAGTAGAAGACTCATTGTTCCTTGATGGAATATAGTAAGTGATATAATTGATAAAACATCTGAAAAAGAGGGCGCTACACCATATTATATATTCATTAACAGTTTTCAAATTTTTTACTGATCTAGAAGGCGTGCAGGATGACTAAGCACTCCCACATCTAGAAAATTTTGTTGTATTATTGGGTATCACATAACTTAACATAGAGATTAATTTTGTTAAGGTAAGTTTGATTATATCTGGTTTATTCTATTCATTACTAATTAGATTTATTATTAGGTTCCTTTTGTTATCTTTCTGGCAAGATTTAAATTTCAAATTCAACTTAAGATTGAAATTTTGGCTTTTTTTACAGAATATCTTATCATTTAGCTGCTTTTATTCTTAAAGCCACTTCTTCAAATTCGGATACTAAATGCTCTTCTTTTCATTGATCAGAATACATATCCTTGATAGAGAGATTTTAGATTATTTGTTGTGAAGGTGAACATTGGAATTAGATAAATTATTAGTTTGGAATGGTTTAGGTACTTGACTTGCAATATCATCTTTGGTTTTTGGATCTATTTGGGCTATTAAGCTCAAGTGATCTGCTAGTGTGAGTTTGGTCTCCTTAGTATGATTTGACAAGGTGATGAATTTGTTTATCTTGTAGAAAGCCATCTTTGCAATCAAAGAATATGTATTAACTGCATCTCCATCTTTATGAGTTTTTGAGAGCTGTTTAGTAGTACAAAAAATCCCCTTAGTGCAAAATTTACTTTGATTTCCAACTTTTCTTAGCCAAAAATTATCTCGGACAAGCATA